TATATATATATATATATATATTAAATAATTCATACAAGCTGAATTTCCTTCTGTCTTCCGAATTTATGAATTTTTCGGCGCATGCGCAATAAGTCATCTTTGAAAAAATTTTTAAGGTTATCTATCATTTATCTATATATTTATCTATATATAATATGTAAAGAATTATTTCTGTATATACCACAAAAACGATTAAACTCCACTTTTTTCACAAATATCCACGAGTCATCACATTCGAGTCTAAATACGAACATGCTTCATTTCGAACTATAGTTCTACGAGAGACGAAATAATCTCATGATCCCTGCGCATGCGCGGAAAAATTCGTAAACTTGGAAGGCAGAGGGCAGTTCAAGTTTGTATGAATTATTCCGCGGACGTGAACGCCGCGCACGATACGCAATTAAGCCAGTCCGATGAATTGCAAATACAGTCGTTAACCGACCATTACATTCGAATGCTTTCAAGAATGGCCAGCGGATAGATGAGGTAGGAGGCAGAGAGGCAGAAGTCGCGAGAAACCGTCCAAGCAGCTCGCTGTAATCCGAGCTACGAGCGGAATTTCAATCTCCCGGCAAATGGAACACCGTGGTTCCATGGCGTAAAGGTCGCCAACCGCGCGTGCACGCCATCCAGGACGGACAGCCTGATGATGGTCCGGGTCGGTCGTTACCCAGGCTAAGTGGACCGCCGTTACGGTGATCAGGGTAAGTGCTCCATATTCCGCGTGCTGTTTCATCCAATGACCAGATAACACGCGAGACCTGAGAGACGGCGATTTACAACTCGGCATGACCACTTGTCTTCGGCTCTATGTATATAAGCGCAACGGAGGTTAAGTTAGGTTAGGTTAGATTACGTATTCTTGGATTTGAAGATTGGATTAAAATGAGAAATAACAGTATATATATTTTTTAAATTTTTTATTTGTATATTTGCTGGTTTATTATGAATTCTATCGTTTAGTGCAATTGACATTTTTGTATATCAAACTTTTGTGTTTGTTTTAATATCTAGAATTAACTTTTTGAAGATATTCCATGAATGTTGTAACACATCATTATTTATGTTATTTATTTCAAAATACGTAAATCAAAAAAATATTGGTTCTTTGAATTTAAAATGATTAAGAATAATTAATCTTTTTAATTTTCTTTTTTTGATGTTTCGCAATTTTAAGAGTATTTATCTAAAATATCTTACAGGGAATTTAAGATTTCTGCATTATAAGCATTTCTTTCATTCTGTTCATAAATAGCTCCTTTATTCTCAAACCTCGACCCACAAGTCTGTTCCATACCCATCAAATCTCATGTCACGTTGTTCCTGTCACGAATGCAAACCGCTTCCACCAACACACGACATGTCCTTGACTATTGTTATTGCATCCCACTTGTCCACTTTCCACATGTCAAAGGAGAAACAATCATCCAAGGCTATCTTCTTTTTTAATCTCATCTGTTTTCCTGAATTAGAAAAATTCATGTTCATCTTTTATAATTGATAAAAATTATATATAATATAATCTATAAATAGCTTCAATTAATTATTCATTTCTCATAATGAAAATAATGTTTATTACAAATTTATTTAAAATGTAATTGTTATAAAATAATATTCAATATTTGAGATTAGGATCTGAAAAGTACATAGTTACCCAAGATTTTTAAGTAGACACAATCTAAATTTTTGTGTATGATATATCCAATAATATAAAAAAATCTTTAAACTTTTTATTAATTTTCATTAGCAATATTTTATAGAATTCTTCAAAATTTAAAAATATCTCATATTGGATATAAAATTTCAATAAAAAAAGTTAACACGCAACGTCATAGCAACTTCATTACTACTTTTCCTTACAAACCAAAACTCAATTATAATGAATATTCGCTCGTTTTCGTTTTCCAACGATTCGGTGGGAAATTTTCGAAATGTTTCCACGCGGAAGAGCGGCCAACAATGAATCGTTCGCATAATTGGTAAGCGCAACAACAGTTTCGCAACGTATTCGTCGGTCTCCTAGCTAAGGAGAGTTAGTAAGTCAGTCAGTCAGTCAGTCAGTCAGTCAGTTAGCCGCTCAGCCGTGGGATTGGATCTCGACGTGCTAATGAGCGCCCGCGGTTACGCAACGCTCGTTAGAACCTCTCCTCGAGAATGGTGGATCGTCCTCGGTGAGAGTCCTTGCACGGGTGTGACCGACCCCTTGCGACATTCCACGACGAACAATTTCGCGCTAGATGCAATCGTGCTTACTAAGGTGGTGCCTCATTTAAAGAGATTATCCTCAAGTGCAACGATAAAATTAACAATGAACAATTCTTTGAAAATTTCTTGTAGGGTAGTGGTTGGCGAAAGTGGCACGATTCGTGCACAGAATTTTTTTAATTTTAAACTTTTAGAAGTGTAGATAGATTTAGAAGTGTTGCTTCTTATTTGATATTTGATTTATTTAGTGATAATGCAGCAAAGAGCTAATAATAAGTATATCAATTTTATTAAATATAAAATATGTGAAACTCTATTAATATTAGAATTAATGAGCTATAATATGCTATACATGTTATACATTATTATAATTCAAGTTATGTTGCAAGATAAATAGAGATTTTAGACAAAAATCTGCTTTCTAAAAACAAAAAATGTTAAAGTAATATTATACAAATTGAATAATTATAATGTTAATGAAATATTTATTTTGCAATCATACTTATAATATAGATTACAAATCAAATCCAAGAATACTTGTACCAAAATCTTAATTCTGATTTGTCATAAATCATAATTTTTTCAATGTAATTATGCACTAGAATTTTTTGTTCACAAAGAAAATGAAAATCATCCATTAAAATTTTTAAATTTAAAGAGAATATGGTGATCATAGATCTTTGATTTCCAACTAGATTCAAATACCAATTGTATTTCCAGTCTAGAATTGTAATATATGTACTCCACTTATAAATACATTTCTAACTCGTCTAATCCGATCACGATATCGAAAACGTGATTCTCGATACTTATCGTCTCTCTTCCTCCATTTTAGCACGACCTCTGTCGTCTCGAAGGAAGAACGATCCTCTTCGTGGAAGTAATGGAGAGCCCCTTATTACATTCTATCCGACACTTGATTATTCTTCCAATGATGGATTAATTAAGTTGCCCGATTCGCTGATGTTTTCCACGCGTCAACAGGTGTCGGACAAGCACAATCGATTTCTCAATCAATCTTGAGTATCCTCGTAACTTTCCACTACAGCCATTTTGCCCGACCATTCTCTCGTCTCGATTTATCTCAAACATTCGTTATTTTCAGACAAAACAGTCATTATCGAGATGAATAACGACCACTTTGTAAAACAGCGAACAATACTTTTTTACTGTGACACGTCTCGTATTTACGTACTTGCAATACGTTGTCTCAACGATTCCTCAATGGTTTTTTCACAATTTCACGTAGGTAGTAGATATTAACTCTTTATTTTCTGACGATTTGTTATATCTCTTGTTTTACTATACTGCTATAAATAGAATGTATTAAGTTATGGTTAAGATTTATAAATATTACTTCTTTCAAGTTTTCTTTTTTCTTCTTCAAGGTGCTGTACAACGATGCAAGTATAGAAAAATACTATACAATATAAAGAAGATTTATCGTACATACATTGTAACAGTTTCTTTTTCTCATAGATTCATTCATATTCTTTCCTTTCAGACAAAAACAATATGAGTTATTTCAATTCATTGTCTGTTGCAAACTATAGCCACTTGTTGATGACCAATTAGATATACAATGTGTTTATATCTCAATCAATATATGAAATATGGAATGTCATTTAAATAATTTTCAATTATCTACAATAAAAATTGCTGTAAGAGATTTAAAACGAAGTTAAAAATCAATGTTCATGAACGTTCCTCCTGCGATCCAAACCTCTTTTCCCCCTCTTCGCGAGTAATAATTTTCATCGAACTACCTGCCAAACAACCTATCCAATCAATAACTCGAAACGAAATAAATCCAAAGAGACAAGCGCCGATATAAAACTGACACACATTAGATCGTAAAACCTTATCCTCGTCGGCCTGTTACGACTAATCACGATAACATTTCGCGAATGAATGAAAGATCATTTACAGGTTGGAAAATCCTTCGACCCCGTTCTCACGATACTGGTAGCCAGGAATTCTTGATAATAATCCACGTATTTTCCAAGCCGAACACGAGATCTCGGATACTGGTCGAGCTGGTCACTGGCCTTGCTACATTTTTCGAAATTAATTAAAAATATTTTTCCTATTTACGAAAACTGGTTCCACAAGCGAAACGAGATTTCACGAAGTCGCTAAGAGATAAGACGGCTAGGCGAAATGATTGGCTGTAACGTGAGAGTGACACCTTCATTTTCATCTTTGATCTGAAACTGATAATGAAGAAATGAGATGCATTGAAATAAAGTAGGGTAATAAAGATGATAATTTGGAAGATTTTCGCATAGATAGAAGAGAGATTTGTATAATAAAGATTTCGCAAGATCCTCGAATATGATGCTCTCGTTACTATAATCAGAATTTATTATGTAATTCTAAATTCTAATTCTAATAATCTGTCTACAATAAATCCTAATATCTCTTTCAAATTATACGAAATTATTCAAATTTAGATCAAAGATTATGGGATAAAATTTTTCAAATTTCTTGCAGACTTATAAAATCTCTCCTCTCATTGAATTTTACAAACAACAATGACTGATTTTGAATGCAATTTTCTTAGGATCCTTCAAAATCAAAAAAGAATTAGGTGAAATTAATAATCTTTTCTCTTGTCTCCAAAAATAGATAGTTAACCACCGTCTCATCTTTGCCAAGTCCTTAAAACCAAGAAGACCAAGAAACATTTTTAAGATTTATTGCATTATCTATTGTGAGGCCAAAGAAGAATTAAATGGAATTAGCCTTTTCGCTTGCCTCTACGCCGAAAAATAGATGATTAGCCAATATCTCATGTTGGTACAATACTTGGCCAGAAGGCAGCACGTTTCTCTCATTATGCCTCAACCGTCTCGAAATCCTAACTGTACAATGCACTCACCCCGCCCAAGGGGCCAGCATCCTCGACACGCTCCCGTGTGGACGTGGAACTCAGGAACGTGGTCGATTATTTCGCGGAGAGAGGGAGCAAGAAGGTCGCAGACACACACCGAGCTAAGGGCCTCTTCTCTCGAATCGGTCATCTTGATTTACGACGTCGGAAGCGGCCGTAGATACTTCACGCACTTCGAACACTTACACACACGCGCACACACTTGCCATGAATCGATCTGTCTACCCTAGCCGTAGGTGCAGTTGGAAAAATCGAGGCGGTTCTACACGTGGCCTTGAGACGCCTCGCTTTTTGATATTTGTATCAGAGGCGAGATTCCGATGTGAGTGTGTGCGATGAGAGTTGGTATGAGGGAGGGGATTTAATGGGATTTAAGGGTTAATGATGATCGTGATTGGATGGAAGAGGTTGAAGTGGAGTGGCAGACGGTTATTTATATTTGGATTCTATTTTGAGAGGCGTACGCGTAATGTGTAAAAAAGTGTGATATATATATTGATAATGGTTGGAAATTAATCGTAATTTTTCATTATGATGTTTGCCAGTCGTGTCAGTTCACATGATAAAAGGAATATCTTTCCAATTTTCCATCACGGTTCAATGATATTTTCCAAAAGCATGTATGAAGGAATTAGAGGATTTATTTTTATTATTTAATCAATTTCTCAAAAATATTCTTATCTGAAATCAAATCAAAATTCACATTATACGAATTTTTAAATGATAGATCAACTAAAGCTGATACTAGAACAGAAGCAATAAAATTAAATGTATTTAGAAATTATAAAGTAATAGTTTACTCTAATTATAACTAACAAAAGATAATAAATTCTAAAGTTGATCAATAAAAGTCAATCACCGTCACAACGAAGTCCATAAACTTTATCGAATTTCAACACAAAACTACTAACTCGACTAACCTTTAAACTCAATTCTTGTAAAAGGATCTAACCTAAAAAAGAAGAAGAAAAGAAAAAAAAAAAAAATAACGGCACAGCAATATTACTCAAGATCGGCACGCGGTGAATTTGAACCGGTCGGGGAGAGAAAAGCCAGCTTCCGATCGCCTAATTGAACCTCTATTCCAGCTCGTTGATCGTGATAATGACATTTACATAGGGAGCCTGATATCGGTTTACGGAACTGGTCCGGCCGCGAACACGTTAACGAAACTAATCTCAATTAAGACTGAATCCGATAATGAGGTGGTTTAGTGTTAGCGACCTAACCTCACGTGCACGCACGTATATATGTGCATACGGGGTATAAACCTCGTAGACTTATCTAGTAACTTTCACATTCCACCGAGCGCGAAACGATTTGCCTTGGTGGTTTATTAACAGGCTTTAATTGCGAGTGCAACAACCCGCAACCGTGTTTGGTGCCGATTAATCACATTTGTCAGGACAACGCTTACTTCCTAGTGCATCGTATGCAGGCCGAACAGGGATCGATAGAATATCCCCGATATTCTTGTCGCGATGATACAAAGCCGATGCCTTCTAACCACTGCTATATCGAAATCACGATTGATCGATAATTAACGGTGACTTCGTACTTGTCCTTCCTATTTATCGAAGTATATACTATATGTAATTTCTCTGAGCACTTAAGAACATGTGCTGTGTTTTCTTGGAAATCGAATGAAATGGAATATCGAGTGGATATTGAAATGATTGCTTGCAAAAGGTGCGATTTATATAATCGATTTTAAGTTTAAAATATGTTGTCAAAATCATTATTTCGAACAATTTTTTAGAATATATAAAAGCATCGTTTGAGATATATGCAAATATATATATCCTATTATTATAGATTTGGAATAGGTTTAGGTTAAATTTTGATGATCTTAAATTGGATTTTAATCATTAGAAAATGTTAATTTAGAGTTTATATAAAATTTCCTTATCATTTAATGAAATTAAATTACAATTATTTATAAATTATATACATATATTCATTAGAAAAGTGTTTTAAGATCTTGATGTCTCTCTAGAACATAGAACCAGTCTCTCTTTTTTCGCTCACGAGTCTGCTCAGAACAAGAGTTTCTTCTAGCAACGATAAGGCAGTTTTTGTAACAAGTAACTTGTCTAGTCGGCCTATACAAACTCACTCCTCTACATGTCGTTCTATTTCTTATCCTCTTTAAATTGACCTTGTCGAATTAATTACTCTGTTAATCCTCTAGTATTACATGTCTCGTTTCACGCGTGTCCATAGAAATTTACTTATTATCTTTAATATCGCCGAGATATTGAGATTGCATTAGACAAAAATTTTAAGTATAATAATCTAGCAAAGAGATCAAAAAATTCGATATGAAACTTTCAATCAACTTTATCAGGAACTTGATTGAAAGTATATTTTTGCTCTAAGATGACTTAGATATCTATTTATAATAGATAGATGTCTATTCTTGAAACAAACTAGATACTTTTTAAATAATCCATGATATGCTATATTATTAAAATAATAATAGTATTAACAGTTTTAACAATAAAAAATTAAAATAATTTTTATAATTATGTATAATAGTTATATTTTATTGTTAATAAAAATATTTAGAAAATGCTAATTATTAAAATATTTTTATCAATATGTATTACTACATAAGAAATTTGATAATTCTTTATAAGAATTTTCAGCATTTAAATACCATTAATTGTATTCCAAATGATTTATAGATAATTTTTATTATAGTTAAATTTTCTATTTTTAACGTAATAAACAAATATAACGCACAAAAAGATACCTGGATATCTGGATATTGATATAAGCATGAAGAGGTTAAGTTCCTTCGCCAATTTTCATATAAAAACTTTTCGACAATTATAGCAGTAATAGCACATATACATACACATACACACATACACTCAAATCAAAAATATCATACAATAATCAAATAAAACCAATCGATAGTCTCAATCCTATAAATATAAATTTCTCTCATCGAAACAATCGTATTCACTTTCGAGTCACGTCCGGCCATCTTTCGAACCGATTCATCCGCGCGTGCGCGCCTTGACCGCAACATCCAGTATATATACGTACAATACGTATGTATATTCATTGGAACTCGCCTTAACCTAAGCAAAAGCGAATGGCAGTGAAGCAGTCAGACGAGCTTTGAGCCCAGGCTATGCCGGAGGCCGAAATGAAAGAGAAGGTGAACGCAAATACGGTGTAAATCATGCGTGGGCACGTACACGAAATCAATCGAAAACCAATGACCGAAGATCGTTCCCGAGGCCGGTATCAATAACCCCAATCACCGGATCGTTAAAGATCGCGGTGTCGGTCGGCCCTTAACGATGCAATTAGGCCGCGAGAGGGCGCTCGAATTAGGATTGATAAATGTCAGGAACGCCTCCACACTGCTCGCGTCGTTTCTGCTCTTCGCAATCAGAGGCGAACGAATTTATTCGGTATGTAGATGCAATATACTGACTCTGCCCGCGTCATTAATCCTCTGTCGCGCCGGTAATAAGCCCTTAATCTTCTCAGAGTATCGGCTACCAACGAAGGATCTCGCGAGTGTATTCGCAAGGTTAGGTTAGGTTAGATTGGTCGTCTTGGATTCGTACGCATATTCCGTGAATTTGCAAGAAAATTGCGGTTTCTTATGTGGTAGCAAGATGGTATTTATAAACGAATACTTTTCGTGTTGCTTGCGATTATTAAAGGTAATTAATGCGGTTAATAAATATTGACTCGATCGCGTTAAATCATAGTGAAGGCCACCGGATGGGATCGAGGCTTCTGAAGAAGCCGGTCTTGGGTGGATCGTGGAATTTATATGGTTTTTTCCATCTCTTTTTGCGTCTTCGAGTTTTTTTCTTTTCGTGATTCTTGGAGATTTTTGTGAATATAAAATTTTTCGATCGTGTGAAATTGATCGAGAGTTCAGATAAGATTTATTGGAAGGTTGGAAAGAGATATTTGGATGCTTCCAATAGAAATTTTGTATACAGTGTGAGATGAAAGTATTGATAGGATTATAATCGTACAACAAATTTGAAAAACAAATATTTTATATAGTAAGTATAATTCGATAAGCGCAGACAGTTCTGTGCCAGATTATTGAGCTATATGTGTAAAACAATAGAAATAATTTAAGAAACAATCATTAATTTACAATTTAATATGATCAGTATAATTTACTAATAAAAAAATTGTATATAAAATGTGAAAATATTGTTTTTTTTATGTCAAAAAGTATGAATTCTCTCTTTAAGAATTCATTTTTTCATTCTTAACTTCAATGATAAAACGATAAAACAATAATAAAATGATATTTTCTTATTGTTGAATTTTGAAATATAAGTACTAATATTTAAAGAATGTTAATCTCATGATATTTCAACTACAGACAATTTATTCTAAATAATTTGAATTTTATTTGTATTAATTTTTTTTATTTTTTTTATAAATTTCAGAAGAAAAATACGATTGACAAAAGGAAAGAAATAAGTTTTAGATTTAATAAGGACATGCAAAAATGAAGGAGAATTAAAATTATGCATAGGAAAGATGTGACTGTACGTTTCCATATGGAGCCAATATTCAGCAATTCGTAATTTCAATTCGTTTAAATACACTATAAAAAGCTTCGATTTATTTCTGTCGCGCCACGTAACCGCCATGAAAGGAATATTCCTCGGTGAAGGTGAAAGTTCGAGGATCGTCCACGATGTACCGTAAATCATTCGAGCAGCCCACGGAAATAAAACAACAAAAAACTTTGTCTTGCACCATCTCTTCTCTACCTTCGAGGTCTGTACTTGATTCGAAATTTATTTATCGACCATGTTCGGATATTTTTCTCCGATCTAATAGTATGAAGTCAACAATTTTTTTATTTTAAAATTCTTTTAGTGAATGAATTTAAATAATATTTCTAATAGTATAAATCCAAAGTTTTCTTGAATCATTCTTCAACGATTATAGTTATCCAAGAAAAGCGAAGATTAACTCACTCAGCTGATAGCTGCAGCTTTGAAATCACGGCACATAATCATTGGCTGTTATAACCTTGATGTGACCTTCCTTTGAATTGACCTTGACAACCGTACCGGGCCCAGCAGGGTCCGACCAACCTTCCCCTATTTTCTCATCATGGAGGCCTGCGATGAGTCGGTCCCATTACAGGTGGAGGGGACAAGCTGGATTTAATGAATGGTTTCGCCGGTTGGCGCGATATGCGCACCGATTCCTTGTAATTGATATAATTGGCTTTGGTCGATCGGTGACCGGGCTGCTCGTTTCAGAGGTTATCACTTTCGGCTCCGATGAATTCAATCGATCCTGTCTTTACCGAGGCTTCTTTATTCGGTCGGCTTTGATCAACTTTGGCGGATCACTTTGTGAGCGAAAGTCGGTTGCGTGATTGGCCAACCACTAGCTGAATTTTGAACAGAGATATGATAGGTTCTAGACTTTAATCCATAAATATGGTCTAACCTATATTTTAATGTATTCTTTGAACAAACAGGTTTGAAAAGAAATTGTCTTAAAAAATATTTTGGAAAAATTTTAAAATAGTTATTAAAGTTTTTAATTTAGTGTATAAATCTTTCAAAAATGGAAATTTCTTTTAAAGAGATAATGAAATTTTCTGTTAACTCTTAATAACATAATCCAATATTGTTGATCTGCATATATAATTAACTTGTTTTTATTATATATACAGATCTATTTTTTTACAATTTTTCAATTTTTCTTTTTTAAGATTTTTCTAGAATAGAAAAATATGATACAAGATACGTTAGAATTTAAATAAATTATACTTAGCTATACACTTTTATATGATATGAATATCTTTATAAAATTTCATACAATTTCCCTTTAATTTGTCACTATTCTCTTTCCAAAATAATTTTGATACATTTGCAAAATCAAGTCATTTGGTTATTCTATTTGACAAATAAAAAAATAGTTTTTTTAGTTTATAGTTTAATCAATTTAATCATTTTTTGATATTTATTATCAATTTATTATTCCAAAAATCCAATTTTTCTTCTCAAACCTAAGATAAAATTCTAAAATTTCCATTTTCACAAAAAATAGTCGCACAATGCCAAAATATCCATTGTTCGAAGTATCGTGTATTCTTTTCTTTCGGCCGTCTCTTCTCTGATTCAAACACCGGTTCAGTTACACGGTCAAAAGGAGGATAGAAATAAAAGAACAAGGTAACCGATGTTACTTTCATTCGTTGCTTCGAGCCGCGTTCGTGGCCAACTCTTATTTCACAATCGAACTATAAGATCGTGATCTCGGTTGCCTCTCATTCGACTTTCCATTTCGTTCGATACACACCGCGCACATAATACATTACCCTGCCGCTTGTTCGCCGCTTTTAAGGCGCTGATTATGCATGCGTCCGGATATTTATGCACCGCGAGAACTTCGACCGATTTTTATTTTTGCCACACGTTAATCACACCACGGCTTGAGGACGACCAAACAAAAGATTTATGGGTTTTCGTGAAACGGGGAGTGGCGCGGTGAGGTGGCGCGGGATCCTCTTCTTTCTTTGAACTTCCCGCGCGAATTTTATTCTCCGAAATTTCCAAGATTCTTTTCAAAGATATTACGGATTAAATCGATTTATATAATTATATTCCGTTTATGAGGAAATTTTTAGTAAAGATGTAATAAATAATGCGCGAGAATGAATGGAGGATTATTTTTCGTATTTAATTTATTATACGTGAATTTATTAATTTGATCTGATAGATATTTTTAAAATGTTCAAAAAAATTTATTCTTAAGGGATGAAAAGGAGAAAATCAGGTGGAACTATAAGTTGAATAATCGATTATATTTGGTAAAACATTTACAAGGTAATAAGATTTTTTTTTTTTTGTTCATTTAACGTTACATTTACAGGCAAGGCATCATCAAAGACCGTACCAACTCTACAATAATTGTAATAATTGTAATAATGTTTACTTATAAGAAAAGTATGTACCATCAAATTATCTTTATCGTTACTATCAATATTTAATATTACGGTAGTTCGCTACTCTTATTAATTCTTTCGTCAGGAACAAATACATATTCTTTTTTTTTTTTTGTTTATTCTTCTCAATATATTTATATTATTTATAATATATACTTTTTTTTTTTTTGCATTAATCTTTATAATCAATATACATCAATTCGCGATTACATTGAACGGTGTTTAAGAACTGCACCCCATATAGGCAAAACAAGATTTTGTTTCGGACACATTCCTCGAAGGTGTGTGTGCCTCCACGATCGAACGAACAAAGAAAAATATACGTGTTACGTTATATTATAGAATATGTACTGTGTATGCGTACGAAAAATTAAAAAGGAAGAGGAAAAAAATTCTGGAAATGTTTAAAACGTGTGTTCTTCCTTTCTTCGAAATTACACGCCACCTTCTTTCGTCTTTCCTTTTTCCTTTCGATCGTATGTTTTAGTCGTATCGTTTGAGTCAATGCTCTTTTGAAAACGATTCGATCCACGATTTTTTATTTTTCTTGCCGTGTAACTTTTTTTTCCTTCTTACGATTCGTTTTCGAAGAGCGTTCTCGATCGATTTTCGAACAGAATCGCGGAAGATTTTGGCCAGTCGCGAAATATATCGAAACAAATTCACTGTGATGTAATTATTTAGTAACTAGAATTGATTCAAACTTGTTCAACATACATTTATATCGATATTAAATATTTTTGCCAGAATTCAATTTGTAATTTCAAAAATTTCCAAAAATTCTAAAATCGAAATATAAATCGATACCAAGTCAATATCAAATAACGACATTTTCCAACTGATTAATACTGCCATAAGGAATTCGGATTCGATAATAATGCGACTGAAATCGTAATATAAACGTAATTGTTCTAATATATTTCATTCCGTATTAGTACGACAAATGTATAACTCTCAAATACACGTAGTTTTAATGTAGTACAACTATCCTGTATGATACGACGATATTAAAGGCCGATCCACATTGACAGACAATTGTTCGCGGATCTGCATTTGACTATATATATATAAGTTGTATTTAGTTCAATATAATCCGCCGATATTGTTCAACTATTGACAGATAATGTGCACACAGACTGTGCACAGATTGTTCGCAGACAATGTCTGTCAGTGTAGATAGATCTTAAGGATTATTACATTCGTTGAAGTGAAGACGCTCGAATGAAAGGAGGCGTTCCTCGGTGCCGCGAAGCGAAGTCTATTTTATGCTTGCACGTAAGAACAGACAGACAGATATGCGGACAGAGACAGAGAAAAAGAGTAGCATGTATTGTGTGTATGTAAGAGAGAGAGAGAGAGAGAGAGAGAACTATTGCACTATACTGATTCACGATAATCGCTTGATTAACTAGGCTGCGGCAGCGTTTCACATACGATTCGATGAATCTCTTGAATTAATTCAAACGTTGCTGAAGAATAGCTTGGAAACTTGAGAATATTATTTTATCGATAATATTAAAATTTGGCATACGAGTTTTAAGGATGTAATGGGAGTTTTAATGTCAAGTATCTGTTAAATAGAAATTTTAAATTGAAATTAATATTTGTCAAATTTATGACAAGAAAATGTGATGTAATGTAATCATTTTTGAATAATTTTTCTTTTTTACATAGATATTGTAGAAAAGATGAAGAAGTATAGATTGTATTTATATTCGTTAGAATTATTGAAGTACCTGTATTATTTTCTTCTTTTCAATTTTGAAATTAAATTTATTTTTCTTTACTTAAATTGCCCCTCAATCTTTTATTTTATAATATTGCACTACGCATCTGAAACAAATTATTATTAAAAATCAAATAAAATTCAATCAAACTATACACATTGTTCAAAAACTTTTGCTGAACGCAAATGAAAAAGACAAAATCATAAGGCAATAAGTTATTTAACACCGAATTCTTTTATTACATAAACACATAAACGATTGAAAATATACAAATCTTTCTAAACTCTTTCAAAACATACCAAATCACAATCCCTTTCAAAATTTCAATTTTATCAAATTCCTAAGAGCTTTTTAATAAAGTTTTGAAATACTTCAAGCATTCCACAAAATATATATACATATATATATATATATATATATATATATATATATATT